GCCCATGTCAGCCACTGAAAAACAGCTCCTGTAAGTAACCTTGTGCTGCACAGCACACCCTCCCTATCCCATGCGCCGCCATCGCTGTCGTTTCAGTGGCTGGAATGTAAAGATTATAAATATTTGTATTATTCAAAGTGTTCATTGCCTAAAAGTCATTTGAGTGTTAATCGTGACCGACTGCTCCTGAACGTGACGTCAGACGCGTAATCTCAGTTCATCCAGAACACCTGTGCAGTTCAACATGGGAGGAGTTTCTCATTGCCTCGTCTCTCCAAGTAACGTTGGTAAGTGTTATTTGCCTTCATGATTAACATTCTCCTTCCTTACATCTTGTTGTCTTCCTCATCTTTGTAATTTTAATATTTTACCAATGACAGTCTTTCTAAATATTTAATTTTGGTTTGTTTTACAGAGGCACTGGATTAAGGACGCCAGCCGTTTGCTGCGGTCAATTGAAAGTGTTCCATAGCGTATTGTTGCAGTTAGTTTACCTTGTTCCTAATGATTTTATGATTCATTTTTTTTACGGTAACATACAGTAATCCATTTTACAGTAGCATAGTGTAAAAACCATTTATGGTATTATACCGTAAAATAACGGTAAAATTCTGGCGTCCTTGCTGCCAGTAAGATACCGTTAATTTACGGTGACATTTTTTAGAGTGAACCTCAAAATACTAGGAAAAAAACAACAAACAACATAGCTTTTTGACTGTGTACTATTTGCATCCACTGCACCGAGCGTATTTAGATGTGTGAGACGCAATGACACAAGAAGTGAGCGCACAACAATGGTGTAAATGCTGCAATGGCATCAGGTAGAGATGTTTATGCTCTTATTCCAAAGGGCTTCGGCAAGTGTTAGATGGACAGGTCACCTACTACAAACAGACCCAGAACAGCAGTGGCCCATAGGTCATTTTTCTCATGAGTAGTTGGCATATTTTTCACTGCCGTAGCAAAACGCTACCCAGGGCATTACCGAGCTCTATCGGCACCGTTGCAACCTGCGCTTCAGATGTGTACCTACAATGATATCTGCACCTACCTGCTCCTGCGGGGGTATGTGGTCCACATCCAGGCAAGCAAGAGACCGGTTGATCCTCAAGGCTAGGCACAAAGCCATCAGGCCGCCAAGCTTTACTTCATTCTGACGGAGGTCCAGCCGCAGAATCTGACGACTCTCTGCAAGGAACTCTGCCAATGCCACAGCACCTTCACCAGAAGGAACACAGGTTTTGTCAGAAGGGCTGGCTTGGCTTGCCAACTTTAATTTATCTGGTCTAGTCTTGCACAGATACAAGTCTGTAGGTTAGATAGGACCCTAACCCAACAACGTCTTCACTGTGCTCGCTTTGGTAGAAATGTTATGGCTTGTCTTCAGGCATAAGTTTTGATTCTGTACCATTAGCCGCACTGCCTCTAGACACCTTTTAGTAGTTGTTGGAAAATGATTAGCAGATCTCAAATTTGCCGACTCTTCTACAACACTCAATATGAGTTGTGTACCGGGGGCCAAAACAAGCTTTTCAATTCATTCATTCACTCACCGTAGAGGCCGCTTTAAAAACAATTTCTTTGTTTGTTTTCTGCATTTCCATCCACATTCAAAATGAATTATAATGCAAGTGGTTGATAAGAAAAAAAAGTAGTGAACCACATTAACACAAAACAAACACGAAGACTTACTGCACATGTATTGTTGTACCTTCACACGTGACATTGGCCCGAGCCAAGCCGAGCTCCAGCAGCGAGCAGTTCGCCATCAGAGGCTCCCTGATTACCTGCATCCCCTCGTTCCCCAGCAGGTTTCCCCCCAAATCCAGGACCTGCAGGACCTTCAGCACGGGCTGAAAAACAGCATTTATATCAGCACTGCCTTACTTTGACTTTACCGCAACAATGAAGCTTGGCTTAGTTTTAATCATCCTTAATATTATTCAGTCATTATTAATTCCTTTCAAACTGTTTCCTCTCATGTTAAATGCTCAGAACTTCTGTTTCCACTCTCCAGAGTCACATTAGCATTGAAGGTTGATTAGCTGGCGCATAAAGCCGGGGGTGTCTGGGGCACAAGAGGCCCGCGTTGCCCAACAGCTTGACGAGGAACGCGCCACCCACTCCTTCGGTTGCCCCCTCGCCTCGCCACCCTTGTTAAACTCCTCTGGTCAGCGTTCTGAAGAGAGAGGGAGCGCGGGGGCGGAAAGGAAGCCAGGAAAGCAACAGACAGAGCCGGAGAGCCTCTTCTTTTCGGAGTTAATTTGCACCGCGGTGACAACAAACACACTTGAGAGGGTTCCCCCCCTTTATTTCCTCGGCACACAGAGGGGCTCTGCCACATCCAACGCGTGGCGAGAAGCTTCTCCGGTGAAGAGGAGAGGAGGAAAGGGAGGAAGAGCATCTCGGATGGATATGCACAAGGGATAATAGCAGACAATTAAAGAGGCGACTGCGTGGTTGAGGGTGTGTGAGAGTCGAGCATGGTTGAAGCCTGTCAAACGTAAACCACAGGAGGGTTGGAGTGAGAAGTTTGAGGGGGGTAAGAGTGTGAAACCACCAAAAACACAGTATGCTTTCACACATGACATGCTGGCTTCAAACAAAAAAACAACGGAACTCACAAAGTGGAAAAAACAAGAGCCCTGCGTGACATAATCACCTCAGAGTTGTTTTGTGTTTTTATGCAGTAAATTTAGAAATCATGATCCAAACTGCAAGTGGATTCTGGCCCATATCTGCTCTGTAGCCCTTCAAAACACGGGTCACATAGACCAGGGAGAAAGGTTAATAACAGCTCTCCTCGTCATCATATGCAACACCACCGCTCTACCACGTCTAATTATCATCATTACGGCCTGCAAGGACATCTACTTATCCCCGTGACTGGCAGTGCACAGGAGCACCCCTCCTCAACACGCATCTATTATTTAATCAAACAGCTCCTTCTTTTGGTAGCGCTGGAGGAGACGGGAAGTGTTTGTGTGCGTGTGTGTGTGTGTGTGTGTGTGTGTGTGTGTGCGCATGGCAGACCTTTGAAATGTAGCCTTCTGACTTCCACAGTCGCCACTCACATGACAGCGAGGAGCAGTTTATGCTGATAAACTTGGCTGGCAATCAGGCGGAAGGAATACATCATATTAAGAGTGTACAGTGTGAAGGTAGGAACCCCCCCCCCCCCCCCCCCACACTGCCGTTCTCTGCTCCCCTATCAAAGAAATACTCTGCAGCTCAGATGGAACTGACGCTATTTCAGCATCCGCAACAACCTCTTCAGGAGCCTCCGTTGTTGGAAACGCTCTCCTCTATGTGTCGTCTCACAAACCCGTCAACGTTGTTTAAGCCACGCCCCTTCCTGTCCAGAGCTCCTTGCACTCATTAGTCTGACGGAACAAGGAACAGGATGGAATTTAGTGGGAGGCACTGTGGATTTGGTCCCACGTCGCATATTCATTAGAATAGTCATGAGGAACAAATCTGTTCATCCGTTTAAGGGTTCGAAAACAAAAGTTAAGCAGCACTTGGAGTACAAACGGGCCGTTTGTGGGAGAAGCTTCCTCGTGAAGAAAACTACAGCGGCCACGGATGACCTGCACTGACGATTCAGATGCGCATGGTGGAAAGACAAGGTACCTTGGAATGTACCGTATAGATGTAAAGTTGACGGTTGCTTGTGTTATTGTCCTCACCAGGGCGCTGGCCAGATGGACCATTCCATTTGCACTGATCTGGTTGTTCCTCAGCAGTAGGACCCTGAGACCTGCCGTTTGCAACCTCAGACCATCACACAACTCTTCCAGACCTGCACAATGAAGAACACAACCAAAGAACACGACATTGTGCTAATTAGATAAACAGGACAAGCACTGACAGACGTTTTGAGGGAATGATGGCGCTCCAGACACTATGTGCTTAACCTTCATCACCTTAAAGCTATAAGCTGCTAGCAAAGGCTCTTTAACGAGCAGGAACTGAACAAGTTTTACTAATGATTAATGACATTACGTGTCTCAATTGTTAAGAACTTCTTAGAACACGTACATGCTCATGATGCAGGAATACATCTGGTAGTGACAAACGGTCACCTCAGGTTTCAGAGAGCAGTCTGGGAACCCTGCAAATGTGATTTCTTTCAAAGATGGAGATGTGAAGATGAACAGCCATGTGACTTCCTCTTTAATTTCTGCTTTACATTTTGGAGCAATCCTCTATTTTCAAAATGTTTAACTGTATCCTATTAGAAAGAATATTCGAAGTGAACTAGTGGAGAATGATATGAGGGAGAATATCTCTAAGCATCCATAACCATCACTAACCTGTGTAATAGCTTGGCTCTATTCAACGTTTAAACAGTGTTCAAATACCTCGTTCAATCTTTAAAAGCTTTACCTATTTCATTGTTATTTCATCTATCAGCACTTACCAAACCAAACCATGTCCTCCATCAAATGCATTTCAACAAAGTATGAATCATCAAATTCTCAATTACACCAAACCGAGTACTGCAGAGCCGATCTTTTGTGGATGGACCTTGAGCAACTTTGACTATAAATAAAAATGTTTTTCTTCTCTAACAAAGATGGACATCCTACCAGAATCTGCTACAACATTGCTGCTTAGGTCCAACGTGTGTAAAGTGGTGTTGTAGCGCAGCAGGTCTCCTAGATGCAGGGCATCGTGGTAGCTGTTCAGCAGGTTGTTGGTAAGGTGGAGTTCTTGCAAGGCCTTGTTTGACTTCAGTGCACCAACTACAAGCAGCGAGAAGATCAACAAAACGTTGACATTGACATTATTGCCTTATATACAGTTAATAATATGCTATATATTAATATATATATATATATATATATATATATATATATATATATATATTACATATAATATAATACGTTGTTGCAGGTAAGTCTTCTCTGCTGGTCTTAATATGTCATGGAACAAACGTCCACCTGCATGCTGAGATGTGCCATCACACTCTCACTCCCAACTTGGTAAATACCAACGCTCGGTCAGTGAGATTGAAGCGAACATTGGAACCCTGCGCAGTCTCTCTGTGTCAGTCTCTTCACTTTTCATCCATCCACTCGACCTCTGTAAGGAGACGTCCTTCCTCCTAATGCCTCAGAGGCCTTTACAGTCCATACGCAGGATGTTGCATGTGTACAGATAGTAAAGCCCTCTGAGGCAAATTGGCTATACAAAACCAAATGAATTGAATCGGTTTGAATTGAATAATGCAGCTTCTAATAACAGACAGACCAGTTGAAAGTCCAATGCGCCATGTTGGAGTCTTGGTCCGCTGGTATGAGCTGCTGAGGGTCACTGACCAGCGTCGCTCACTTGACTCTCAGTAAATACTGCGAAGCGCCATATGTTTCGTTATTCTGAGCTGTGAGTTTCCTGAGTTGTATAAGCAGCCGCAGTGGTTGGTCACGAGACGCCAGTTGGGTACCAGGTTCTTATCAATGGGATAATGTAAAGCTTCCACATGTTCCACACAGCTGCTAAAGCGCTTGTCTGGAAGGTAAAATGATCACATGCATTTGTCTATCTATAAAGAAGTCAGCAGCGGACTGGCGTCTAAAAATGTTTGCGCCTCTAATTTAAAATAAAACAAGGTCCCCCCCACCCGTTAATTAAGGTATGTCTTTAAATTTAACATATGATCCTTCATAGAGTGTGCTCTGAGAAGCCAAACAGGGGGCTTTCAGGTTGTAACTATGATGGTATGATTGATGGCGAGTGAACTTGAGCATGAAAACGAAGCGCAGCAGGACTCGCCGCCTGCTGCAATTACTGCGGTAAAGATCATCCGCCGCTTTCTAACAGAAGGAGCCATTGTTGGAACCACTGACTCCTCAGCACAGTTCTCCCAGATGTCAGGGCCTACGCCATTCATAAGGGTCACATGTGATGGTGTTTTGGAAATATCTCTTTTATTTATATGTATTTGTGTAACGTGTACTGTACACATGTGTCCATGTTGCCCGGCCTCCGCCGGCCCGTGGCATCCAGATCGATGCACCAGATTTGATCAAGCCTGTTGGGCTGCATGTGGAATGCCAACATTGTCATCAGGCGCAGTGGGACCCAAATGGTGGAATCGGTAGGATTGATCTCGTCGAGTCCGCCGCGAGCGCCCGAATCCCGCAATCACAGGCCCCTCCGATCGAAGGCAATGATCCTCAGCCGGGACCCCCTGCTGGGAGGGAAAGAGGGTAGGGGGGGAGGAGGGGGGGTGGGGGGGGGGCGGTGGGCTCGGCTGAGGAAGACAGGATGCGGTGGGATGAGAGATGAGCATGGGGGGGGGTTGTTGTGAGACCCTAAAATATCAAAGGGATCCAGGAAACGGCAGAAAATGTTGGAGGAGCAAGTCGCTGTCGGGAAGAGTGGGCGGCACACTGCGTCCATTTGCTTCTCTGCTCCCAGCTGGGAGGAGGTGACCGGCTGTGGTCACACGTTGTTTAGTCCCAGCAAAGAATCCAAAACAGGGATTGTGTATATTACCATGACGTCTGGTCAGAGGCGTAAAATGTATTGTGATTTGATTTAATTATCAAAAAAACAAAATGCATTTGACTGTCAGTGTGTGTGTGTGTCCATCCATGTGCAGCTCCCAACCCCACTGGGAGTGTTGTGTTCCCCACAGCTAGGGTACTTACATGTGTGTATGCGTTGTGTGTGTGTGTCATTTGAGCCTTTGAATATTCCACTCACTGTTCCAAATGTAGAGCAGCAGCCGATCAATGAGGGTGAGCGGTGACAGACTCGCTGAGCTTTTAGTGTTTATGTCAAACGATCCCTAACATTTGTAGGTTTTGTAGGAAACAATGGTAAATGGCATTTCTTCCCACCACCTACAGCACGTCATCATTCACCCATTCACACTGGATTGAGAAGAGCTACCGTACACAGTGACACCTGCCCATCAGTAAGGAACGTGCACACCGTGCACACAGCTACAGGATGACGGGATCGAACGGTCTGATTAAAGGACGACCCCGCTGGCTGCTGACCCACACGCTCTACGATCGCAGAGTTTGTGCGGCTGTAGAACATCAGATACACTGAAAGATTCCTCTATGAATCCATCTATGTTTCCAAAAGGTGCACAGTGAATATGTGTGTGCGTGTGTGTGCATGCGTGTGTGTTTGTGTGCGTGGGTGTCTGTCCCGACTGCCAGAGCCTTTATAAATGTGTGCAGTGGTGTGTAAAGTGACAGGTAAGAGATTAGAACTGTAATCCGGGTCCGGACATGCGGAGAGGCTAACAGGTCAAAATCTGGTCCTGCTGGCCACTAGACAAAAACACACACACACGACGACACACAACTTCACTATGCACCAGGCACGCATAAACATTCACAGTCCAGATTTTCATATGAAAACATTATCAAACAGACAAAAGCAAAAGATCCGAATGTGCGGTGCGGGTGAGCTGTGTCTGCGTTTGTGTGTGTGTGTGTGTGCGTGTGTGCGTCATACCCAGTGTGTAGAGGGGCATGCCGCTGAGCTGGGCGTTGTGGAGGTGCAGCACTGTGAGCCTGCTGGTCAGCAGAGCTTTGGAGAGGGACCGGGCTGGGTAGTCCACCACGGGCACGTTACACACGTCCAGTCTGGACAGACGCACACTCTGAGACACACATACAGTGAATTACCTCTCCTGGTTATTGGTCGACTCTTTAGCTGCTAACGTCTCCACTGTGTTTACCAGCTAATCACCACATGTCTGTGTGCTGCATCCAAAACACAACAAGTCATCAGTTGTGCTGTATGACCCAACTGGCCTTTATCCAGTAGAATGCTCCCTACTTCCCTCTTACACGCTCCCCAACACCTGATTATTCATTCATTCAGCATCTTGACACGTATTCATTTTGCACCCCGACCGACTTTATGATCAAAAGGCCGTGGCTGGATTGGAATACCAGCAGTAAAAGTGGGCGCCATGATAGGAGCAGTTTGAACCCTGTAACGCTAAGGGAAGCTCCTTTAGCATTGGAACCACTGGACCTTTAAGATAGGACAGGAGATATATCCTTCCCATAATGCTTTGCAGCGGCAGTATTTAACTGACTTGACTAGCATGCGTCCCCCGTCGCCTCAGTGAAAGTGGAGTCGGATTCCCTAATTACCCCGGTTGTCTTTTCCTAAGTCCTCATGAATTCTCCTAACCATCTTTCCTGTGACGTTTTCCACAGAGGTTCAGAGGAATTGTGGTTAGTTATAGATGTTAGGAGACAATGTTTGAATCCAGCACCAGGGATCTCACTTTGTACAACGTCATTAAACACAGCAGCATATCTTCAATCTTGGTCCACGGCTGAGGGAGCAGATGAAAACTATCCTCTGGAGCAAGGGTCTTCAACCTTTTTCAGGCCAAGGTCCCCCAAACCGATGGTGAGATGCAGCAGGGACCTCCTGTTCTACGGAGTTTGGTCCGCCATCTTTTGTTTTGGAGGTTTTAGACGTGAGCACGAGGGCCATCTGATTGGCTGGTGCGCGTGATGTCGTATCAGCATGGAAGGAGCTGTGAGGGAACCGGTGAGCAGCTTGAGAGCTGCTGTGGGACTGAAAGATGACGTCTTCTCCATCAATTTATCCGTTCGCTACAATAAGTTGGATTCATGTTAGTGTGTAATTGAAGACAGCAAATTCAATTCTGATTCTGAAGACATTTAAATTTGTGGAAAAGAAATTGTCTTATCAACCAAAAATGTCGCGACCCCCCCTGCAGTACCTCCGCGGACCCCCTGTTGAAGACCTCTGCTCTGGAGGACAGACTCACTTTGACTACTGTTCATTGTTCTATGAAGAGCTCTGTGACCGGCGAATGCCCGTGTTCTACTTTTTAGATTTACTCTTGGATTTGTTTTAATTGTTTACTTGTCATAAACATACTGGCATGCGTTCATGTAAGATGATCTCCACGTGTTTTTCCCTCCAAACGTCAGACGACGCCAATGTCAGATCCCCACACGTCCAAAGGACTGTGGAGCGAAAACTGTTTAAAAGTAAGTTGATTGCAGGAGAGCGAGAGAGAGCGAGTCCTCACATTTGTGAGGAAAATAATCTTAACCTGGGGTCATGCTCAAAGTCCCGCATTGTGTTGGCTCATCCGGTCCCGCTTTGATCGTAACATTGTTTCCCCCCCGCGGCTCATCAGTTATGCTGCTGAAGCTATCTGTGATGCTGCAGTGATGTTTTCATGTGTTTGTGCAGTTGTTCGCAGTAGGAGGACTTCTCACGCTGTTTGCTCTGCCCTGTATCTTCAAACCATGTAATGTGCAACAAACTCACTTTCTAGGATGTACATTATCCCCCAGAGAAAGCCCACAAGAGAAGATTACTATTCCACTGCGTCAGCCAACCTGCTTTATCAAATGAGCGAGGGCCCTCCAACACCATGTTCCCATACTGCCGTTGTCAGAAATGTCAAGATGGGTTGTAGATTCATAGTACAGAATCATCTCCAGCAAGGACGATGCTCCCTGCGAGAGGGAAAGAATGAAAAAAGCAAAACGCCAACATTTGACAGCGATGTTATGAAGTTCTTTTGGAAGGAAAAAAAATAGCTTCTAATCTGATACAGGGGAGGCCTGAATATGAAACTGTATTGGGAGAGTGGAGATGAGGAAAAGAAGTTTTACTCATAAAACTCACATTTTCTTCCAGTTGAGCTGCCTGCAGATTGATGAAATCAAAGTGCAGCGATTTGAGGACGGCTTCCAGAGCTTCACAGGAGCGCAGGTCTAATCGCTCACCTTGATGGAGGCAGGCAATCAAACGCAACATAATTGGGAGGCTGTTTGCTAACAGGCAAAATTGCACGGGTCTAAATGCGCTTTATCCTTTTTTTCTGAAAAGAACATTTCAGCCGAAATCAGGACAAAACAACTTCCTTTATGGGAAAAGTTGATCCGCGTGCGCGCGCGTGTTTTCTTTGAATAATGTTCTGAGACTTAATGAGGAACAGAGAAAGAAAGATAATGACAGCTGGAAGAATACGATGCTGCTCGTCATGATTGGACTTCTACAATGCGAGCGCCCCAGTGTCTATTGATTACTGACAGAACTGAAATCAATAGGACCTGGATACACAACTTCTAAAACCTCCAAATATATGCTGAATTGATATATGTATGAAGATATAATATTGATTTGAGGTACATTTTTTATGCTTTTATGCTCTAAACATGATGATGCTCTCGCATGATGTGAAGAATTATTATAGACTAAACTATCCAGCAGAATTTATCATATATACATTTATAATAGAACATGCATTTTTACTTTTAATACCATATTTCATTTCTACTGTTAGTAGGATTGTAGTTTATATACAAAATAATGTTAAAGGAAGGACTGATACTTGGAATGTAGTACGATTTACTTCTGATATGCTGGATCCTGACACCAGCGCTGACCAGGGATTATTATTTATTTATTTATTATAATATATATATATATTTTATATCTATATATATATATATATATTTTTTATATATATATATATATATATATATATATATATATATATATATATATTTTTTTTTTTTTTTTACTTGCTGCTTTCATCCAGGTGCTTCCTAGCAATAGGACACAGAGCTCCCTTTTCATTTTGCCTTTTTGAATTGTCTATTTTTGTTGTACACTGATTGTCTTTGTGTCAGTATCATGCACACAGAACTTTGGGTTATTTTGACTTCAGGCCAGGGGAGAGCAGGTTTATGTTAATAACCTGGGCGGCCATCCGGGGGGAGGAATTCCTTCTTTTTGGGGGTTTCCGGGGGAAAGGTGGACCCCCCCCCCCCCCCCCCCCCACACTGCCGTTCTCTGCTCCCCTATCAAAGAAATACTCTGCAGCTCAGATGGAACTGACGCTATTTCAGCATCCGCAACAACCTCTTCAGGAGCCTCCGTTGTTGGAAACGCTCTCCTCTATGTGTCGTCTCACAAACCCGTCAACGTTGTTTAAGCCACGCCCCTTCCTGTCCAGAGCTCCTCGCACTCATTAGTCTGACGGAACAAGGAACAGGATGGAATTTAGTGGGAGGCACTGTGGATTTGGTCCCACGTCGCATATTCATTAGAATAGTCATGAGGAACAAATCTGTTCATCCGTTTAAGGGTTCGAAAACAAAAGTTAAGTAGCACTTGGAGTACAAACGGGCCGTTTGTGGGAGAAGCTTCTTCGTGAAGAAAACTACAGCGGCCACGGATGACCTGCACTGACGATTCAGATGCGCATGGTGGAAAGAAAAGGTACCTTGGAATGTACCGTATAGATGTAAAGTTGACGGTTGCTTGTGTTATTCTCCTCACCAGGGCGCTGGCCAGATGGACCATTCCATTTGCACTGATCTGGTTGTTCCTCAGCAGTAGGACCCTGAGACCTGCCGTTTGCAACCTCAGACCATCACACAACTCTTCCAGACCTGCACAATGAAGAACACAACCAAAGAACACGACATTGTGCTAATTAGATAAACAGGACAAGCACTGACAGACGTTTTGAGGGAATGATGGCGCTCCAGACACTATGTGCTTAACCTTCATCACCTTAAAGCTATAAGCTGCTAGCAAAGGCTCTTTAACGAGCAGGAACTGAACAAGTTTTACTAATGATTAATGACATTACGTGTCTCAATTGTTAAGAACTTCTTAGAACACGTACATGCTCATGATGCAGGAATACATCTGGTAGTGACCAATGGTCACCTCAGGTTTCAGAGAGCAGTCTGGGAACTGTGCAAATGTGATTTCTTTCAAAGATGGAGATGTGAAGATGAACAGCCATGTGACTTCCTCTTTAATTTCTGCTTTACATTTTGGAGCAATCCTCTATTTTCACAATGTTTAACTATATCCTATTAGAAAGAATATTCGAAGTGAACTAGTGGAGAATGATATGAGGGAGAATATCTCTAAGCATCCATAACCATCACTAACCTGTGTAATAGCCTGGCTCTATTCAACGTTTAAACAGTGTTCAAATACCTCGTTCAATCTTTAAAAGCTTTACCTATTTCATTGTTATTTCATCTATCAGCACTTACCAAACCAAACCATGTCCTCCATCAAATGCATTTCAACAAAGTATGAATCATCAAATTCTCAATTACACCAAACCGAGTACTGCAGAGCCGATCTTTTGTGGATGGACCTTGAGCAACTTTGACTATAAATAAAAATGTTTTTCTTCTCTAACAAAGATGGACATCCTACCAGAATCTGCTACAACATTGCTGCTTAGGTCCAACGTGTGTAAAGTGGTGTTGTAGCGCAGCAGGTCTCCTAGATGCAGGGCATCGTGGTAGCTGTTCAGCAGGTTGTTGGTAAGGTGGAGTTCTTGCAAGGCCTTGTTTGACTTCAGTGCACCAACTACAAGCAGCGAGAAGATCAACAAAACGTTGACATTGACATTATTGCCTTATATACAGTTAATAATATGCTATATATTAATATATATATATATATATATATATATATATATATATATATATATTATATATAATATAATACGTTGTTGCAGGTAAGTCTTCTCTGCTGGTCTTAATATGTCATGGAACAAATGTCCACCTGCATGCTGAGATGTGCCATCACACTCTCACTCCCAACTTGGTAAATACCAACGCTCGGTCAGTGAGATTGAAGCGAACATTGGAACCCTGCGCAGTCTCTCTGTGTCAGTCTCTTCACTTTTCATCCATCCACTCGACCTCTGTAAGGAGACGTCCTTCCTCCTAATGCCTCAGAGGCCTTTACAGTCCATACGCAGGATGTTGCATGTGTACAGATAGTAAAGCCCTCTGAGGCAAATTGGCTATACAAAACCAAATGAATTGAATCGGTTTGAATTGAATAATGCAGCTTCTAATAACAGACAGACCAGTTGAAAGTCCAATGCGCCATGTTGGAGTCTTGGTCCGCTGGTATGAGCTGCTGAGGGTCACTGACCAGCGTCGCTCACTTGACTCTCAGTAAATACTGCGAAGCGCCATATGTTTCGTTATTCTGAGCTGTGAGTTTCCTGAGTTGTATAAGCAGCCGCAGTGGTTGGTCACGAGACGCCAGTTGGGTACCAGGTTCTTATCAATGGGATAATGTAAAGCTTCCACATGTTCCACACAGCTGCTAAAGCGCTTGTCTGGAAGGTAAAATGATCACATGCATTTGTCTATCTATAAAGAAGTCAGCAGCGGACTGGCGTCTAAAAATGTTTGCGCCTCTAATTTAAAATAAAACAAGGTCCCCCCCACCCGTTAATTAATGTATGTCTTTAAATTTAACATATGATCCTTCATAGAGTGTGCTCTGAGAAGCCAAACAGGGGGCTTTCAGGTTGTAACTATGATGGTATGATTGATGGCGAGTGAACTTGAGCATGAAAACGAAGCGCAGCAGGACTCGCCGCCTGCTGCAATTACTGCGGTAAAGATCATCCGCCGCTTTCTAACAGAAGGAGCCATTGTTGGAACCACTGACTCCTCAGCACAGTTCTCCCAGATGTCAGGGCCTACGCCATTCATAAGGGTCACGTGTAATGGTGTTTTGGAAATATCTCTTTTATTTATATGTATTTGTGTAATGTGTACTGTACACATGTGTCCATGTTGCCCGGCCTCCGCCGGCCCGTGGCATCCAGATCGATGCACCAGATTTGATCAAGCCTGTTGGGCTGCATGTGGAATGCCAACATTGTCATCAGGCGCAGTGGGACCCAAATGGTGGAATCGGTAGGATTGATCTCGTCGAGTCCGCCGCGAGCGCCCGAATCCCGCAATCACAGGCCCCTCCGATCGAAGGCAATGATCCTCAGCCGGGACCCCCTGCTGGGAGGGAAAGAGGGTAGGGGGGGAGGAGGGGGGGTGGGGGGGGGCGGTGGGCTCGGCTGAGGAAGACAGGATGCGGTGGGATGAGAGATGAGCATGGGGGGGGGTTGTTGTGAGACCCTAAAATATCAAAGGGATCCAGGAAACGGCAGAAAATGTTGGAGGAGCAAGTCGCTGTCGGGAAGAGTGGGCGGCACACTGCGTCCATTTGCTTCTCTGCTCCCAGCTGGGAGGAGGTGACCGGCTGTGGTCACACGTTGTTTAGTCCCAGCAAAGAATCCAAAACAGGGATTGTGTATATTACCATGACGTCTGGTCGGAGGCGTAAAATGTATTGTGATTTGATTTAATTATCAAAAAAACAAAATGCATTTGACTGTCAGTGTGTGTGTGTGTCCATCCATGTGCAGCTCCCAACCCCACTGGGAGTGTTGTGTTCCCCACAGCTAGGGTACTTACATGTGTGTATGCGTTGTGTGTGTGTGTCATTTGAGCCTTTGAATATTCCACTCACTGTTCCAAATGTAGAGCAGCAGCCGATCAATGAGGGTGAGCGGTGACAGACTCGCTGAGCTTTTAGTGTTTATGTCAAACGATCCCTAACATTTGTAGGTTTTGTAGGAAACAATGGTAAATGGCATTTCTTCCCACCACCTACAGCACGTCATCATTCTCACATGCACACTGGATTGAGAAGAGCTACCGTACACAGTGACACCTGCCCATCAGTAAGGAACGTGCACACCGTGCACACAGCTACAGGATGACGGGATCGAACGGTCTGATTAAAGGACGACCCCGCTGGCTGCTGACCCACACGCTCTACGATCGCAGAGTTTGTGCGGCTGTAGAACATCAGATACACTGAAAGATTCCTCTATGAATCCATCTATGTTTCCAAAAGGTGCACAGTGAATATGTGTGTGTGTGTGTGTGCATGCGTGTGTGTTTGTGCGCGTGGGTGTCTGTCCCGACTGCCAGAGCCTTTATAAATGTGTGCAGTGGTGTGTAAAGTGACAGGTAAGAGATTAGAACTGTAATCCGGGTCCGGACATGCGGAGAGGCTAACAGGTCAAAATCTGGTCCTGCTGGCCACTAGACAAAAACACACACACACACACACACACACAACGACACACAACTTCACTATGCACCAGGCACGCATAAACATTCACAGTCCAGATTTTCATATGAAAACATTATCAAACAGACAAAAGCAAAAGATCCGAATGTGCGGTGCGGGTGAGCTGTGTCTGCGTTGTTGTGTGTGTGTGTGTGTGCGTGTGTGCGTCATACCCAGTGTGTAGAGGGGCATGCCGCTGAGCTGGGCGTTGTGGAGGTGCAGCACTGTGAGCCTGCTGGTCAGCAGAGCTTTGGAGAGGGACCGGGCTGGGTAGTCCACCACGGGCACGTTACACACGTCCAGTCTGGACAGACGCACACTCTGAGACACACATACAGTGAATTACCTCTCCTGGTTATTGGTCGACTCTTTAGCTGCTAACGTCTCCACTGTGTTTACCAGCTAATCACCACATGTCTGTGTGCTGCATCCAAAACACAACAAGTCATCAGTTGTGCTGTATGACCCAACTGGCCTTTATCCAGTAGAATGCTCCCTACTTCCCTCTTACACGCGCCCCAACACCTGATTATTCATTCATTCAGCATCTTGACACGTATTCATTTTGCACCCCGACCGACTTTATGATCAAAAGGCCGTGGCTGGATTGGAATACCAGCAGTAAAAGTGGGCGCCATGATAGGAGCAGTTTGAACCCTGTAACGCTACTTTAGCATTGGAACCACTGGACCTTTAAGAAAGGGCAGGAGATATATCCTTCCCATAATGCTTTGCAGCGGCAGTATTTAACTGACTTGACTAGCATGCGTCTCCCGTCGCCTCAGTGAAAGTGGAGTCGGATTCCCTAATTACCACGGTTGTCTTTTCCTAAGTCCTCATGAATTCTCCTAACCATCTTTCCTGTGACGTTTTCCACAGAGGTTCGAGGAATTGTGGTTAGTTATAGACGTTAGGAGACAATGTTTGAATCCAGCACCAGGGATCTCACTTTGTACAACGTCATTAAACACAGCAGCATATCTTCAATCTTGGTCCACGGCTGAGGGAGCAGATGAAAACTATCCTCTGGAGCAGAGGTCTTCAAGGGTTTTCAGGCCAAGGTCCCCCAAACCGAGGGTGAGATGCAGCAGGGACCTCCTGTTCTACGGAGTTTGGTCCGCCATCTTTTGTTTTGGAGGTTTTAGACGTGAGCACGAGGGCCATCTGATTGGCTGGTGCGCGTGATGTCGTATCAGCATGGAAGGAGCTGTGAGGGAACCGGTGAGCAGCTTGAGAGCTGCTGTGGGACTGAAAGATGACGTCTTCTCCATCAATTTATCCGTTCGCTACAATAAGTTGGATTCATGTTAGTGTGTAATTGAAGACAGCAAATTCAATTCTGATTCTGAAGACATTTAAATTTGTGGAAAAGAAATTGTCTTATCAACCAAAAATGTCGCGACCCCCCCTGCAGTACCTCCGCGGACCCCCTGTTGAAGACCTCTGCTCTGGAGGACAGACTCACTTTGACTACTGTTCATTATTCTATGAAGAGCTCTGTGACCGGCGAATGCCCGTGTTCTACTTTTTAGATTTACTCTTGGATTTGTTTTAATTGTTTACTTGTCATAAACATACTGGCATGCGTTCATGTAAGATGATCTCCACGTGTTTTTCCCTCCAAACGTCAGACGACGCCAATGTCAGATCCCCACACGTCCAAAGGACTGTGGAGCGAAAACTGTTTAAAAGTAAGTTGATTGCAGGAGAGCGAGAGAGAGCGAGTCCTCACATTTGTGAGGAAAATAATCTTAACCTGGGGTCATGCTCAAAGTCCCGCATTGTGTTGGCTCATCCGGTCCCGCTTTGATCGTAACATTGTTTCCCCCCCGCGGCTCATCAGTTATGCTGCTGAAGCTATCTGTGATGCTGCAGTGATGTTTTCATGTGTTTGTGCAGTTGTTCGCAGTAGGAGGACTTCTCACGCTGTTTGCTCTGCCCTGTATCTTCAAACCATGTAATGTGCAACAAACTCACTTTCTAGGATGTACATTATCCCCCAGAGAAAGCCCACAAGAGAAGATTACTATTCCACTGCGTCAGCCAACCTGCTTTATCAAATGAGCGAGGGCCCTCCAACACCATGTTCCCATACTGCCGTTGTCAGAAATGTCAAGATGGGTTGTAGATTCATAGTACAGAATCATCTCCAGCAAGGACGATGCTCCCTGCGAGAGGGAAAGAATGAAAAAAGCAAAACGCCAACATTTGACAGCGATGTTATGAAGTTCTTTTGGAAGGAAAAAAAATAGCTTCTAATCTGATACAGGGGAGGCCTGAATATGAAACTGTATTGGGAGAGTGGAGATGAGGAAAAGAAGTTTTACTCATAAAACTCACATTTTCTTCCAGTTGAGCTGCCTGCAGATTGATGAAATCAAAGTGCAGCGATTTGAGGACGGCTTCCAGAGCTTCACAGGAGCGCAGGTCTAATCGCTCACCTTGATGGAGGCAGGCAATCAAACGCAACATAATTGGGAGGCTGTTTGCTAACAGGCAAAATTGCACGGGTCTAAATGCGCTTTATCCTTTTTTTCTGAAAAGAACATTTCAGCCGAAATCAGGACAAAACAACTTCCTTTATGGGAAAAGTTGATCCGCGTGCGCGCGCGTGTTTTCTTTGAATAATGTTCTGAGACTTAATGAGGAACAGAGAAAGAAAGATAATGACAGCTGGAAGAATACGATGCTGCTCGTCATGATTGGACTTCTACAATGCGAGCGCCCCAGTGTCTATTGATTACTGACAGAACTGAAATCAATAGGACCTGGATACACAACTTCTAAAACCTCCAAATATATGCTGAATTGATATATGTATGAATACATAATATTGATTTGAGGTACATTTTTTATGCTTTTATGCTCTAAACATGATGATGCTCTCGCATGATGTGAAGAATTATTATAGACTAAACTATCCAGCAGAATGTATCATATATACAATTTATAATAGAACATGCATTTTTACTTTTAATACCATATTTCATTTCTACTGTTAGTAGGATTGTAGTTTATATACAAAATAATGTTAAAGGAAGGACTGATACTTGGAATGTAGTATGATTTACTTCTGATATGCTGGATCCTGACACCAGCGCTGACCAGGGATTATTATTTATTTATTTATTATAATATATATATAGATATTTTTTTTTATTTACTTGTTGCTGCTTTCATCCAGGTGCTTCCTAGCAATAGGACACAGAGCTCCCTTTTCATTTTGCCTTTTTGAATTGTCTATTTTTGTTGTACACTGATTGTCTTTGTGTCAGTATCATGCACACAGAACTTTGGGTTATTTTGACTTTGAGTCCCCACAATGTGAACAGTTTACATTTACACCTTTCCATCATTTAAGTCACTCATTATTCTCTTGCACATTGTTGTTGTTACTCCCACACTATTGTATGTTCTTGATCCTAATCCTGTTGAGTGCTCATCACAGGTCCCTGTTACCGCTCAGTAATCTGATTACCTTGCTCTTGCCACGCCTCTTTTTGGACTCATCTCATGCGTGAGGTGTGTTTGTTAAAGGGTTGAAGGAAAAGATTCGGTAAACTGATTACTCTTGCTCCCCGACCCCGATCAGGAGTCACACTCCAAATTTAACTGTGACTGATCAAACAAATCCCTCTCTCCCCCTCTCTCCCCCCCTCCCTCTCTCACTCCTGGGTTCATTCTTATCTCCCCAGCCAAGAAGGGGGAAATGATAATTACTATCATAATTATTTCCAAAATGATTTTTTAACAATAATCACTTAGCTGAGCGATGGCAGAGGGTGTGTGGGGTGGAAGGGAGAGCCATCAGAAATCCCATTTTTCTAATCCGCGCTGCGTCGGGGAGATAATAAGGCAGCGACACCCGCAGTCAGATATCATCAGCGCGTGACGACAGTGACGCCCGTCACAACTTTACCCGCTGCTGTGTGCGCACGCGTCTGCTGCTGCTCTTCTGTCCTTGTGAGGCCTTCAGAGCCGCGTCGGGTCCACTGCTCACTACTCTGGATCCCAGCGGGGATCAGGATGAGGGTTAGGGTTAAGGGTTAGGGTTAAGGGTTAGGGTTAAGGGTTAGGGTTAGGGTTAGGGTTTGGGGGTTAGGGGTTAGGGTTAGTATGATTTACGAACTAGAATCTGCTCTAGTGTGGGTACAGATGTGAAGATTAGGTTGAGTGAAGGTAAAAGAGGTTTAGGATGCGGGCTGGGATCCACGTTTAGATTTAGTTTGGGTTTAGGATTTAGGTTCAAGGGTAAAATGTAAACCGGGGTCAGGTTCACTTTGACCTTAGTGGTAGAATTCAAATGAGTTTGGCATTGGAGTTTGGGGGGGGGGGGATGTAGTATTTGAACATGGTTTAAGTTTCAGGTTTAGTTCAAATAAGGGTTACATTAATGTCGAGTTCAGGATTAGGATTTAGATTCATAATTTAAGGCGCCTCAGAAAAGAGGAGAAACCTTCTCCATGATGTTAAAATAACAGCATCTTTATTGTGATTTTTGGGACAAATTCACTGGGAGGCTCATCTGTGTGTTTTTGATAAGCACATGAAAATAAGTAAATAACAATTCATCTCATTTCAATTTAAAATGAAACATCACCCCTGTGAAGGCAATGTGTGAATTCACCACAAATATACATTTAAATATGACACAATGTTATTGCCTCTCAATTTGATGATAATCTTTTGTGCAAAAACGCTCTCATGTATGTTCTATACATCCTCTGTAATTCCTCGTTGATTGAATATGTAAAAGATCACCGAATGAATCTGTGTATCGTGAACGTCCCGTAAAGTCCTCCATCATGTTTGATAATGACGGAGCGAGGCGCTGGGCTTACCTTGGAGATCCAGACATTTCACACCGCCACCTACACACACCCCCTGCTGGGAGAGAGAGGGAGGGGGGTAGAAGCAGGAGGTGTGAGGGAAAGGCGCGAACACACACACACACACACACACACACACACACAGATATTTGGCAGCAGCAGTAACCCATCCACCCCCCCGTCTCCTTCCGCTCGGCCCCTCCATCCATGCCACGCTGTACCGGTTTGATCAGGGAGGCTTATTGGACGCCAGTGCATGAATTATGAATTTCACACAGTTTACCGCCGCTGTTGATGGTGACACGGCGTCCTAATTAACCAGTGTATAATAATTAGAAACAGCTGGTCATCAGTTGATGTGTTCATTTGCCAGAGCCAGTGTTCCACATACATCTAATTTGACTGCATCCATCACTGGAGGTGGCAGATTTGTGCGCATGGTGGAAAACACGGATTCCTCTTTTTCTACTGATGAGCAACACCGGAGAAAGGAAGGAGGATTCGTTGTGTTTTTAAGGCCTCCTCGTACACATAATGGTAAAGTGAGATCCTGGGACACTGTGAGAAGGCTTCAGCTGATAGATGGAGGTATGTACAAGGATGTTAAATCTCTGACCTGAATAGCTAAAATGCTATTATTGTTATTATTATTATTATGTGGTTTTAGCAGGTACACTATTGTATGTGGAAAAGAAAACACAACTGTATATTCATTTGAAATATCAATTGTTGATAACATTAATTAGAGTCCGCCAACAACCACCAGGGGGCCCCAAAAGGGAAGAAATTAAAAACAGGAGGCCAGACTTCATATAATGATTTGTTTTGATTTGAGTTTCAAACATGACGTTGATTGTTGTTTTTCCCATAAACACACATTAACTATAGCCATTTAAAGTGAAATCCCAAGCATTTGATTGGACTGCCGAACAAGGGGGCGGCTCCGACGTATCCAGGTGACTGTTGGATGGATGAACACATGACTCGACATTATCAGTCGATAAGACGTTATATACGTTAGTTTTACAGTGCAGAAGTAATCGAAATGGTTCACAGCCATTTTATATGTTTTATCAATTTAATCTACAGAAGAAAAAAAATGTTGTCAAAGGAATTCATTGCAAAATGAGGAATTAGCGACATTTTTATTAAAAATCAGAAAAGTGATAGTTTGGCTCCTAATAGACATTTTTAGACATCGAATGCTGAGTAAAAATAAAGTTTTAGAGAGCTCAAATTGGGTGACTCGTGTGAGGGTTTGTTGCTTTTATCTTTCCGTATTACTGGATTATATATTAGATCTTTCATTCCACCCACAGAAAGTGAACAGGGGGATTTACTCCGTCCGGCCTGCTGAGGGTCGGACCCTCTGCGTTCCCACCTCCACTGATCAGCCACCTTGTTGTCGTCGCGCGGCGCCTCCCTGCTAAGTACGGCGCACTGTTCAAAGGGACGCGGGGCGCTCAAAAGGGACTTGGAAGGCTTTCCTCGCTCGGCTCGCTTGCCGCCGACAGGAGAGCGAGGCGGGAGACAAAAAGACGGCGGCCATAATGTGCTCCAGTTGAAAGAATTAGACAGATCAATGGGACATAAATTGCACTGTTTATGTATACAAGAGGCTGGTGTGTAATTGGTAGAGGTGGTAGAATTCCCCCCGTAATCATCTTAACCACACACACACACACACATGCTCATGCTTTAATGTGTCTACATGCACATTTACACAACTAAACCACTGTGTGTGTGTAGAAACAGAGCCGCGTTTCTGTCACTGAGGGCTCACAGAGAAACGAGCGCTGATGGAATTCCACCTCATCGCTTAACATTGTATTCATTTGACAAATTACAATAATCTCTCTGACATGTTATTTATATATTTTTATTTAATCTGTATGAAGTAGTAGTTTATTTTTTTTCTTCAAGATGTTTTAACCCGCAAGTTATTATACATTTTATTATATGTATATGTATGTATATATATATATTTTTAAATGTTTTAAAATGTTTTTTAAATGTATGTATATATATACTGTATCTATATATATATATATATTTGCATTATTGTACTCATATTAAATATTCAAACTCTAAACCTGATTGGTGGATCCCAAAGTAGGTTTAGGAATCTAGAGAGATTCTTGCAGATGCTTGTATCAGTCACCCTGATTAAAGCTGCCGAGGCCCAAACGTACGGCAGGTCTTCTGTTTGTGTGCCACAAACATCATCACGTACCACAAAACATGACTGATTTAAATAGGACTGCACAGGGAAACAACACGCACCACCGGGCTGAAGTGGGACGCGTTAAAGCCACCAGCATCAATGTTGAGTGTTTGCACACATCACCTGTCCCCCCCCCGGGCAGGTCGGCTCCTGAGCACGAAGGTTGGAGTGGAGGCCTTTAGGCCTCATCTCCTTCACTGATTTGCCGACGTTGCTGACCGCTCGGCTCGTGGCACAGAGCCAATTAAGGACGCTCAGCAACACACACACACACACACACACACAGGCACACACACACACACACGCACACACACGCACTGCACTTCCTCCCTACAAGAAATACGGTGATGGCAGTTCATCATCTTAATGAATTTGAGAACTGGTTGGTTCCCTCCGCTCGCCGCGGCCTCGTGGTGAACGGGGGAAACCGAAGGCGCCGGCTGCCAAACAACTGATCAGTCAGGAGGGACAGAGGACAAAATGGAGTGATGGGACGAAAAGCGTCCCTCGCAGGGGGGGGGGCTGCTTCCCAAACTCCTTCACTCAGCCATCCAGAGCCGCCGTGCCTCTCAAGGTGGTTTGGCATCAAAAACGGTTTGAGTGCACCTTTTTTATCCTCTGCCCATTTAATTAACTGACTAAATAAATACATCTATAAATAAATATATATATACTGTATGTATTTTTAACGTGCATTTCATGAGCTCTGAGGGGTTAAAAATCCCCCACATTTCCCTTTCAGCATCTTTTCCGCAATAAAGGATAAATTATTTAAAATAACACGACCTTTTATCTCACACCCTTTGAAGGCGGCAAATTAAAAATGTAAATTGGGAGCTAATTAATATGCAAATGTATTCGTTCACTGTTAACAATTAGCAATTAAAGCTGCAGTGTCTAGAAAGAGCACAGACAAAATTAGTAACTTCATTTATCATTTAAAAAGAAAGAGGGAGATCTAAAAACGTACATAAAATTGTAATTGACTTGCAGTATTTCCCAGTGTCGCTGCCTTTGTTGTCTCTGCTGCTTGTGAAATACATGATCGCCGTTAGCGACTTAATTAATGCCACTTTGTGTGAAATATACCGTCCTCTTAAATGCCTGGTGTCAAAAATAATGTACAGATTCAAGGCTGAGGGGCGAGCGCTCGGTCGGAGGGATGTGTGTGTGTGTGTGTGTGTGTGTGTGTGTGTGGACTCTAATGTTGGGCGTAGTTTCTCACTCACTGTCGGGAGGAGACAGAAGAACACAGCGTAGGATCTGAAAAGGACATTTGATTTATATTTAGGATTTGGCACAAGTTGCTCGCGGGAGACGTATCAAAAAGAGTTTTTTAAAGATCATTCTTACGTATAATTCTTTAACTGTGTAATGTCCTTTTCTGTGCACGTGGACGGACTAGACGGGGAACGGGCATCTCTACCTCTATATTCACATTTTTAGTGATAAACAATTAGGATCCGCAGCGGATCAGCTCGACCACATTTCATCCAAAATCATACTTTGACACACGTCACCCGCAACAAATATTATGTCTCGTGTGATTTAAGAAATTGCAGCAGGCAACTGGGATTTTGATAAATCTTTGATTATTTGTACAGTGCTACACAGAGCTCCTGCCTTCTGTGCTTTTTGGGGGAGAGCAAAAAAATATACCAATTATAATATTAAGCCTTTCAAAAACACGGCATGTAATATATTTATATATATATATATAAATATATATTTCACAGGTGCAGCATTGTTTAGCATTTGTTGCAGCAGGACGAAATAAGGACAAACCCTCTTGCTCTTGTGTCTCCTGTACCTCGGTGCCAGAGTCAGACTACAATATTCAGCATTATGAATCTGAACACTGATCATCTGCGACAGCTACTCGGTAAATTCAGGGTTTGCATTTAGAGGAATAGGTGGGACGCTTTTTTTCTGTGCTCATAAGAAAGACTGAGATGTCACCGTGGACGAGGAGGACGGAGTCATGTGATCAACATTGGGACCAAACCAGGGAAATGTTTGTATTTTTTTATTTCATTCAACTGAATGTAGTACTTCCCCTCCCCGCCCGGCTCCAATATTCACTACGACTACAAATACTTATACAAAGCGGCAGCATGACGCGCCTTCCGCTCATTACATTCTACAGCGTTTCAACACCTTTGCTGCTCGGACGCAGGTTCGATCCCATTGGGTGAGTTTCCACTGATGAATACGAAGAGGCCCTTTAAAGCCCCATCACACTGTATGAATGCAGTCGTTTGGGGGGGGGGGGGGGGGGTTATGAAGTAAAGAGGGGCAATCTACAGCGACGACTAGTAATTCCAACGACGGGCATATTGTGTCAGACGCGTGTTATGTGGTGACGGAGCTGAGTCCGGCCCTGGAACATTTCCCCTACTTACAAAAGCACTCACATTACTTGTGCAACCAGCCGACCATGCAAATTCAATTCAGCCCAATCGGGCTCCACCGAGTGACATCACACGTGGCGTTCGGCTGAACTGCAACCGCTCCGGATTCAATCAGCGGCCTCCGTCCCCTTTGCCCTCCTGCACAACGGAGCCTTTTAAACAAAGCCCGGTGTGTGTGTGTGTGTGTGTGTGTGTGTGTGTGTGTGTGACGGGCTGGAGTGCGTTAGCAGCAGGTCCCGTGGTGATCCTCAGCCCGACTCCCCCCCCCGTGTGAACGCCGCCGCCCCGTTATCGCTGCTCTTGGGCCTGTAATGCGAGGAGCGACATATGTCCGGCGCCCCTGCTGCTCCCCGATAAGCAGGAACGCTCCTCCACCTCCTCCACCTCCTCCACCTCCTCCGCTTCCCTCCCCGGGGATCT